CACACACATTTTTTGAATTATTATCACTTTTAAGACCCGCCAAGTACATTCTCAGGAAATGGGATAGTTTTGGGATCAACTGTAAGCGTGCGACTACCGCTTTCCTGCGATCGTAAACTCGTCAAGAAAATCATTCGCGGTCGCAAATAAGCGTTGCGATTTATATCAGTTAATTGACGGCTAGTATGAGATTTTAGTAGATTTGCCGACTGTGTGTGTGGGGGGAGAGAACTTTTTAAATGGAACATTCTACAGCAAACCGGTCTCCAGTAATTTTCTCGTTCCAGGCAAACGGTAGCAAATGCTAATAACTTATAAATATTACGCTACAGTTAAACGTACAGCTATAACAATTATCCTCGATTCGTTTCAAATTACTTTTTCTTTTTTGTCTTCTTTCGAATCACAATCTAATTGGTAGTAATCTAATTTCCAAAAAAAAAAAAGAAATTTTATTTAGAACCGTCTAGGGATTTTTTTTTCTCTAACTTTATTCGAAAGATTGTATCAGTGTGCAAAATATCTCTAAAGGATATAACGTTTTTTAACTTAGAAGAATTTCCTAAAATTTGCCTCGATTTTCAAAATATTGCAATATTTGCAAATATTCCCTTTATCTTTAAATCATTTTCCCAGAACAGAGAGAATTTCTTTCTGTTCGGCGTAGCACAATGGTTGAGCCAATTAATAACGTATTCCATCGCAAGTTCCTCTGGTTGACGCAAGCGATTGTTACGCGACAGGATACTCTCCGATTCTGTGTATTTTTTTTTTTTTTTCCTTCTCCCGATACCAAGTTCGCGCTCAACTTCAATCCACGCTTAATTATTTTAATTTCAGTTCCGTAATAAGGATGTTTGGGGAGGGGCATCCCCTTTCACGATACGCAGAATTGCTCCTTATAGTATTAATACGCTGCATAATAGGAAGTAAGTCTCTCCCTCCAGGTTACGGTTTATGAGCACACACACACACACACACACACACACTGTGTCTGCTGCGTGAATCGGTCGGATACGTGGAAAGAAATCATGAATGGGCGACAAGCGGGAGAGTGACTCGAGCGGGCGAGCATTACAGAAGAGGAAATCGCCGTCGATTACAATTTTTAATTATCTCGAACGGAGTTTGAGTTCTTTTCTCTCCATTCTTCGGTATCCTGTTCGCTCGTTATTCTTTATCGCAGTTTTTAAGTTGGATTAAGAAAGAAAGGTATCCTCGTACGATTGAATTTGTTCCGCCGTAACGTGATCGAGCTCGGGATGAGATCTTGTGAAATTTCTTCTTAGAGAGAATTATTGGTTAATGGAAAGGGAAGGATATAGGGAAAGATGGTTAAATTTTTAATGTATAAATGGTTATATTTGTTTCATATGTATGCACGTTGAAATATTAATATATGGTAACAATTTATAAGTATAATATATTTATATCGTTCAAAAGAATTAATGAATTGGATATTTTAGATTTTTTTAAAACAGCGTGAGGAGTTTGGAAATATATTCTGGGATAAAAACTTTCGTAAATTATTCGTGACTAGAAAATGTAGGGTCCCCTAGCGAAAATTACTTTCACGAGAACAACTTTCGCTTCCACGAATTTTCAGACGTAACGATTTTGAAAATGCCAATAATTATTTACGACTAGCGAAAAAATCACTTGCAATATAAATAATTCCCTAGCAAAAAAAATATTCCTTCGATACGAAAATATCATTGAGATGCGCTCGAGAATAAAAATTTTCTTCTTCTTCTTATTATTATTATTATTATTATTATTATTATTCCACTCCCTGCAGCATGTTGCCCATCAACAAAGAGAGGCAAACCCTTTGCGACAACCTCTTCCTTCCGCCATCCTCGCGTGGAACGAGCTCGATACGATGGAATCGGTCGAGCCTAACTGATTCTCAGCGGCAAACCTACTCTCGTATGCATTCCCATGCCCGATATCCTCCTTATTTTCCTCTCTTTCTCTCTGTCCCGCTCCGTGGCTCGCCTTATTCGGACATGTCAAGCTAACCTCCTCCTCCTCCTCCGCCTCCTCCTCCTCCTCCTCGTGCACCGACGAGTTACAAGTGCGCCTCGTGCATAGGCGTCGTGCGCGCGCCTCTTTACGTTGCCTCTTTGTCGGCCGCGAGAGTTTCTGCTATACGTCGTTATACCGTTGTTTTCCATGCGGCTGGCCAAGTCCACGCGAGACGCTTAAATATCGGTGGTAAAACCCTTCACGGTCCGCTTCTCTCCAAAGAAACGAATCCTCGAACGAGCAGGAGGAGGTAGTGGTGGTGGTGGTAATCCTTTGGACGCATGCGTGAACAGTAGCCTCGACGATACGCGAAAGCGACGTACGATATGATATTTTACCAAACTGGTTTCGAGCCGGGCAAATCAATCAAAATTTTCTTGCGAATTATAAAAGTTTCTAGTTCGAAACTGGCTTCTATACAGCACGTAACTTTCTCCAATCCATTCCTGTATTAATCATCGTTGATACTCTAAAATTTGATCAATCCAGATTGAATATAATAATACGAATTTTTGTATCTCCAAGTTTTGGCGAAAGGATCTCGGGAATCGGACTAATCGGAAGGTGAAACGGTGGAAGAGTCGGTGTTCGGGACAATGGAGGCATCGAGGAGGTACGCGAAACCATGTCATTAGCGCAGCACCAGAACACGTGCCCCATTATACTCGGTTTCTGCCGACCGAGGGTCGCTCGACAAAGGCTTTCCTTGTTTCCACACTGCAAAACTTTCCGCCGCTCCCTCCCTCCC